TGCTTCGGGTCGTTGTCATGTTGGAAGACCCAGCCACGCCCCATCTTCAATGCTCTGACTGAGGGAAGGAGGTTGTTGCTCAAAATCTCACAATAAATGGCCCCATTCATCCTCTCCTTAATACAGTGCAGACGTCCTGTCCCCTTCTCAGAAAAGCACCCCCAAAGCATGATGTTTCCACCCCCATGCTTCACAGTAGGGTTGGTGTTCTTGGGATGCATCTCATCCTTCTTTTTCCTCCAAACACGATGAGTGAAGTTTAGACCAAAAAGTTCTACTTTGGTCTCATCTGACCACATGACTTTCTCCCATGCCTCCTCTGGATCATCCAGATGGTCTTTGGCAAACTTCAGACGGGCCTGGACATGTGATGACTTGAGCAGGGGAACCTTCCGTGCAATGCATGATTTGAAACCATGACAGCGTAGTGTTCTACCGACAGAACTGTGGTCCCAGCTCTCTTCATGTCATTGACCAGCTCCTCCCTTGTAGTTCTGGGCTGATTCCTCACCTTTCTTATAATCAGTGATACCTCACGAGGTGAGCTCTTGCATGGCGTCCCAGTCCGAGGGAGACTGACAGTCGTCTTTAGCCTCTTCCATTTTCTAACAATTGCTCCAACAGTTGATCTGTTTTCACCAAGCTGCTTGGCAATTGCCCTGTAGCCCTTTCCAGCCTTGTGGAGGTCCACAATTTTGTCTCTGGTGTCTTTTGACAGCTCTTTGGTCTTGCCCATGGTAGTAGTTGGCGTCTGACTGACTGTGGGGTGGACAGGTGTCTTTAAAGAGCTCAGACAGGTGCTACTAATTTAGATTAATGAGTGGAGTAGAGGTGGACTTTTTCAAGGCACAGTAACAGGTCTTTGAGAGCCAGAATTCTTGCTGTTTCTCAGGTGTTCAATTACTTATGTTCAGCAGTGCTAGACAAATAAATTCTTTAAAAATCATACAATGTGATTTCCTGAATTTTTTTTTTAATTATGTCTCTCAGAGTGGGAATGCACCTACAATGTCAATGTCAGACCCCTCCATGATTTCTAAGTGGGAGAACTTGCAAAATCGCAGGGTGTTCAAATACTTCTGTTCCTCACTGTATATAAAGAGAAGAGTAATGGAGCCAGGGTCGAACCTTGCGGAACACCTGAAGTGATAGGAGCTGTATTTGAGATGCAATCACAATACTAACTGAAAAAGTTCGATTGGTTAAAAAGGAAGAAAACCAGTTTAAAGCTTGAAACTTGTCAACAATATTTAAACAATCTAGGTGAGACTGCAACTGGGCGAATACGATTTTTTTCCAGAATTTTAGTCAAAAAGGGTAGGTGGGAAATAGGACGAAAGGACGATAATAGAGAAGGATCCAGATTAGGTCTTTTAAGGAGTGGGCAAACTATCGTGTGCTTAAGAGAAGAATCTTGACTATCTTCTCGACCACTTTCAGTATAACCTTTGATTAGCAGTTTTTATTAGCACAGGGATGGATGTGGATGTTTGTATGTGGATCCTGCCACGCATAAACACTGCAGGAATTGTCTTGGTAAATAATGCAGGTGAAAAACATGGACAGCATTGCATTTCTTTGTCTACACACAGAGAAAAAAATTATCTCAGTCTGTTGAAAAGGTTGCAATGAGATATGCCATTTTAATTTTGAACATTTTTTATTAGCTTTTATTTACTAGCCATTCAAACCAAATTACCATCTTTACACATCACATATTAAACTGCAAAGAGGAACACTGCAATGGAATTTGTTGATCTCATTGATGCCCTAAAGACCCTTTAGGCTTTTAGTGACCCCACAGCACATTCTTTAGTGCCATCACCAGGACAAAATTTACTTGACTAGTAAAAACATCAGGACGCTGTTCATTCTGTCCACCACTTTCACGCTGAATGCTGTTGCCCATAAGGGCCACTAGTAGGCATTAGTCTTTATCCCTCTTCCCCTTTTTATCCCCTTGGTGGTGGGATGCCATCACAGAGATGGATGAGCACAACCGGCCCATCCATACTTTCCAGGTTTGCAATGTGATGGAGCCCAACCAAAACAACTGGCTTCGTTCCAACTGGATCTCTCGACAGGCAGCCCAAAAGATCTATGTGGAGCTTCGCTTCACCTTGCGTGACTGCAACTCAATCCCCTGGGTGTCTGGCACCTGTAAGGAGACCTTCAACCTTTTCTACCATGAGACCGATGAGGCTCATGGAGTCAAATTTAAGCCTACACAGTACACCAAGATTGACACCATCGCTGCTGATGAGAGCTTCACTCAAATGGATCTTGGAGATCGCATTCTCAAACTCAACACAGAGGTGCGTGAGGTGGGCCCTATGACTAGGAAGGGCTTCTATCTGGCATTCCAAGACATCGGTGCCTGCATTGCTTTGGTTTCAGTGAGGGTTTACTATAAGAAATGTCCATTTACTCTAAGGAACTTGGCATCATTTCCAGACACAGTACCTCGTGTGGACTCCTCCTCATTGGTGGAGGTGCGGGGGGCATGTATTGACCATGCTGAAGAAAGAGACACACCCAAACTGTTCTGTGGAGCTGATGGTGACTGGTTGGTTCCTTTGGGAAGATGTGTCTGCAGTGTTGGGTATGAGGAGATCGATGGCTCATGTGTTGGTGAGTTTCCTAACATTTATATGATTCATTTTACTTTTCATCTTTCAATGTAGTATTTGTTGAAAAAGTCTTGCAAGACTTAAAAACAGGTCCTGTCACTGAAATTGATCCTGGCTTAGAATATAATCTTCGCCATTTAAATGTCTCAGCTACTTGGCGTTATTTTAGGATGCCAGCCATATATATAGTACATTTATACACTCACTTACAGTATATGAAGTTTTTTTCCCATTTTGTTCCCTGTTGCTGCTCAATCCCCTTTTCGTTTTTCTGTGATATCATTATTAGCTGCTAACTATTTAGATTAAGATGATAGTATGAGGGGATCAGAGTGTTTAGGATTGTTACTGTGTATGTATCAGTGTGTTTGTGTATTACTCACGTTATGGGGACCAAGACCTGTTTACACACTCACCTTGATGGGACATGGCCTTTACTGAGAGGACCAGATGCTGGTCCCCAGCATGTAAATCACTGAATTTTAGTGTGCAAACTTGGTTTATGATTAAGTTAGGGGTTGGGTGAGGTTAGTTCCTGTAGGGTAAGGGTTGGGTGAGTAAAAGTCATTGTTAAGGTTCGGGTAAGTCCCCAGGGAAGGAATGTAAGTCAATGTGAAGCAGTGTTTGCGGCATTGCCCCGACCCTCCACTCTCCTCATCTGTGTTTCTCTGAGCTCTGTCTTCCATTCTCAATCAGTGTTCCCTCTGTGGAGGTGACCAAACATTTAATGGATTAATGTAGGTTATTCATTTTTCAGTGACAGTTATAATCAAAATTTTTTTTAGACTTGCAAAGTCGGTGCTTCACTGAACAAAGTAACCACAGCCTGACTGAAAGCAAGACGTGACGCTCAGCATCAAAGCAGGCTGACCAACAGCAGAAATATGCTGGACAACAGTAGTCTTCATGTAGGCCTTGTGCATGTAATTATAACAGACACCAGTAAAAGTTTGCAATAGAAAATAAGTGTGAACTTGAATGATTTAAACAGCAGTGTGTTGAGATTATGCTGCACTCAGTGCTCCAGAGAAAATAGACCCGAAGCAAAAACACAGGTGATGTGCGGTTCACATGGGTGTGTTGGGGAGACATTTCATAGAGTGGATCTGTTGCACGAAAAACACATCTAAAACGTGCTTCGTCTGAATTGGCCTTAACTTTACCTATGTATGTGACTCAACCTGTTGCTTTATGGGCTTCCTGGGTGAGTCACTGAGGTGCTTGATTAAATGGTAGATTGATTGGATTTACTTTTGCCATGGTGGCAAGGATGTTGCTGTGGCGGGTTGTGTTTGTGTGATCACGCATTTGTGTAGGTATGTTGATGTGCATATCAGTAGTCTACCACCCACTCTCCTGGGGGCTACCTTGGTGTGACGGATTACTTTAGCTGGCTGGGTTTCATACTCAACTTTATGATATGAGCTTTGGGTTATCGCTGGCAGCACCACTCACTGTGAATGCTGCAGTACAAAAGCCTTCATGAAGTTCCAACACAGCCTTGTAAAGGCCTGATGTCAGTTCAACCTCCAACACAGCTTCCTTTTCAAACCTTGTAAAGGCCTGATGTCAGTTCAACATGTACACAACTATAATCTTTAGTAAACAGATCTGCATTCTAGGGGGGTACAAGGGGTCCAGTGTAGTAGAAACCAGTAATACCCTGCAAAAAGTGTTGGATGTACAATGTACAATAAATATTCACTGGCTAAATATTATAATCTAATAATTCGGTCATCCTGACAAGTAACCAGGAAGTAACAAGTAACCTGACAAGTACCATATTTGGTATTACCTGACTGATGTACAAAAATGTAATCTTTCAGGTGACTACTTTTTCTTGATTTTTACTTAACAAATGTCACAGTGAACATTGACTTTGCTTGAAAAAAACTTCAGTAAAAACATCAGTTCTGGAACTGATGAAGCCTCTTGGATGAGAGGTGAAACGTCTTTGACCTAGAAATCTAGTCCAAGTTTTTTTCATCTTACTATGACCTGGATGATGGAGAATCTGCATAGACATTGACTTTGCTTTTACCAGAATGAGCAAGACGTGCAAGTTTTTAACATGTGTTAGTTTCTAACACTAAGTGCATAACATGGTGCAATTTTGTTCCTCTGCAAAAATAACCCGTCAATCCATCTGACACCACTGCAAACTACAGCCTTGTTTTTAGAGCTCATTCAAGATTTTTCACTGCTTTTCTCCATCCTTTCACCATCCAGAACCAGATGTCCTCATACAGTTGATTATGATTCCTCTCGTGCACGGGTCAATGAGGTTTCACAGCTGTATCGCAATCAACAGCACAATGGTGAAACTGCAGCTGTGATTAGAGGCAGAATATAAAGGTTACATCATTCATGTATGTTCCTTTATTATTTTACCATATTCTTCTCCATTCATACATATCCCTTAATTGTTGTGTGACAGAATAAGCCCACTAATGTTAGATACACTTGCTCTTGATAACTTAGGTGGAAACAGGGCAAAATTAGTTTTGAGTCAGGTTGTGTTTACAGCCTTGTTCTCTATCCTATAGATAATGCATTCATGACTGGAGTCACAAATGAGTGTGAACAAACATAATACCACCCAACTTGAGGTTTCTTTGGAATAAAAAGCCAATATAATAGCAAAAAGTAGTATAGTGTTTACCTATTTACCTTCAACTTGTGCTAGATGTGTTTGCTGTTTATAAAACCCATTGATCCACATCATATCCATCATAGTTTTATGAGGTACAATAGAGGCTAACATCTTTGCTCTCTGCCATTTACGACGCTAAGCCACAACATGGTCACCTATCAGTATTTCTATTGGCCCTATAAACTATGATAATTTGTCTTCCTTCTCTCCTACCTTCCTTCTCCTTGACCCCTCACTCTCTGATTTTACAGTTGGGTTGAGTTTAGCCTTTCAGGCAATGTGATGGCATTTTACTGCACTGGCCTGAATTGCAGCTGCTGCTCATTGTTCCAGGATTCAAACAAGCGTTGTTATTAAACGCCTCCGCACAAGGCACCACTGAAGTGCCTTGGGCATTGAAGGAGACAGAGTGAGGTGCCTGGCAAAGCTAAAGCTTCAATCCCCAGTTTACAAACAACTGGTCATTTAAATGCAATGATTGAATGACTAGGTTGGAAAGACATTTACAGGTTTGAGTGATTTGTGACTTTAGTAAAATTTGATTGTTAAGCACTGACCTTTATGCTCTTCAACTCTGGTTGCTTATGTGCTATGATATGGAGTTTGTTTTTTATGCAGTTCACTTTAACTATCTCTGAACAAAAGCAATGGTTAAAGCCTAAAATATAAATGTTACATGCATGTTAAGTAGAAGAGATGATTGCCTATCAGCAATCATTTCTGATATCAGATACTGTCAGTTCTTTTCCTGAGATAACCTCTAACAAAAGATGTACAATACAAACTCCCCAGCTCTGGTTTACAAACCTTTTTTTAGGCTAGAGAAAAGATGAGGTGTCTTGAGTCTGAATAAAGGGTTTCAGCTTCACTGAGGTTGAAAAAAGGACCTGCTCTCCTACCAGCTAAAGCCAAATAATCTTTTTCTCTCATTCAAAGCCAGTGATCTTGATCACAATTGTACTCTAATCCCCTATCTTTTTCCTGGATGAAGTTTGAAGTGTCAATGGTCTGCAGTAAGGCTGACATTAATAAAATCTAACAGCTAACCCTAACCCCTACAACCTAGGTATAAGCTGGCAAACATATCTTTTTAGCACACTTTTTCTGGTTTTATCTTTTTTTATTGTAGATTATTGCATAGGGTGTCTCAAATTTCCTCCTTGAATGGAGCCTCTAAAATAATCTACAAGTACTGTACTACTGTAGTTATAAGCCTTCAGGATTATGATCACATTTCAAAGTAAAAACATATGCCTGGGTTTTAAGGGGGGAAAAGAAAATTCATTAAAGGTACCCGTAGGAGTTTCTGAACACAAGTAGTGCCGTGAAGCAATGTTTTTATGATGCAGTAATCTATATGTGACAGAAACCCGTTCTTAATGTTTTAGATTTTCATATATAAATTATCCACAGCCCAGCTCTACAGTTAAGACTAATAAATGAATGAAGAATTAAATTGAGTAAATGTTTTCCTTTTGAGCAGAACATAAAGAAATAAGTCAATAAATAGAATAATATTTAGCACAAGTTATTTTAAAATTACAATGGCCAAACAGGGAGATATACGTAAGATGTGTGTGCATGCTAATGCCCATTTTGACCTAAAAGTTCCAGAAACTAAGAAGCCACAGAAACTTTCCCCTTTTGTCAACTAGAAGGAAACATCAACATGGAGTCCTCATGTTGTTCTTTGTGCTTACTGTGACATGCTCATCCACTCAGACTCTTGTTTGAGTGGATGTAATGAATGGAGGTGAAACAACAGAACACTGGACACATCAGTTTGCCTCCAAGGTAATGACCATCTGCTGAGTGATTTATTTCTGTCTGAGTATTCATGTAGACTCAAATTACAAATCAAGTAAGGTTCATTTAATTCACTTGCTTGATGGCTTGTCCTTTATCTTTTGTTACATGTCAAACTGTTTGCTTTTGACTGACATCCACCTCCCCAAAAACAAAGTGCCCAGTAATTTCTGGGCAATTAGAAAGTAGTACTGCCAGGTCTGAGAATTCTGGAAGCCAGGAGATATGGTAAGGAGCAAAGTTTAAATCCTGGTTCCTCCTGTTAAAATTCAGATTATGTTATGCTGTGAAAACAAGCTATTAATATACAGTATATTGCACCATGATCAAATGTGTGGCCTACTTCTTTCTTACAGTACAGTGTTGCATCACTTTATTTCTATACACAGGTATAGGACTATTTTTGACACTAGTCTGAATAGTGTCCAGTAGTTGCTTGTCTTATTTGACTTAGAGTAAATGCATGGCAAATAAAGAATTTACCTTTATACCTGTAATATTTGTAGTCTTTGTGGCATCTGTTGCTGTTTTTCCTATAGTTA